AGTGTCCAGAAAAAGCGCTATATAAGTGTAAGCAATTATTATTATTATTATTATTATTATTATTATTACACACAGCTTTGTTTATCATTCCAGCCCCATGCAAATAAATATTCTGCCTAGACTGAAAAGAGCAATGCTTTGACTACAGAACCAAGCTTACACTTAGAATGGAGGCCCTTCCTGGCTGTGGCACTTCAAAAAACTTTGTAAGAAAATGTTTGAACAAGATAAAGTGTTCAATTATGCAGAAACTGCCAGCAGACTTTTTTCAATGCATATAAAATAAGAAAGTGAATTACATCTGTGATGTTTATCACAGTATTTTCTTTTTATGCTAGAAGAAAGAGCTACCCATAATGTTAAATGAAAAGAGGAATTTGTTTCAATGAGAAATTTCAACATATATTATGATTTGTATCAGGAGTTTGTAGTTTGAGTAAATGAACCTACTAAGGTAAAAATGCAAAGTCTTTTCTCTAACTGTAAAGGCACACTGTACATTTCACATAATACAACCAATAAGACCCAGAAAACAGGTGTTAGCAAAAAGGAATTTAGTTTCAAAACTTAGTAGGTGAACTGAATTACAAACGCTACTTTTTTTACAGGGTTCAGCTATTATAATATGAAATACGTTTTCTTTCCTCTATATTGGCATGTGGTAACAGATCGTGATGATGGAATTTATATAGACTAAAAAGGTGCCAAAATCTCAAAATACTATGCTTTGTCTTTATCGCCAATGAAAAACAGTTTCACAAGATTTTAAAAAACTGGCAGACATACAAAGAGGCATCCATCATGACTTCTGCACAGCATATGGCTATACCATTTCGGAAAAGAGGTTCAGAGATGGCCAACACCCTTCATCAGGAAACTGAATTTGATGCCTTTTCAATTTTACAAAGAAGAACTCAGCAAAGGGTGTTCTTCAAGCTCCTAAAGGAGTTTCCCCTTCATGAACTGTGGTCAAAATCGCACATTGGTGAGCAAGAACTACTGCATGGCAGAATCTCACGAGTAAGCCACTACCTGAAATGTATCTTCCCTGACTGTACTGCTCCTTCTCTCCATTGTGCTGCTCTGTCCGTTGGATTGAGCACTCCTTCAAAAATATGCTCCCACAGATACAGACCTGCAAGACAAGGAGAACCCCGATTGGAGTGTTTCATAACAGTGAAAGACAAACTGCTGGCTTCAGAGGCCGGCTTTGGAATGAACCTTCAAATCAATATTTAACTTGACGGCGTTTGGCAAGCTCACTTAAACATCTGCTCTTCGGGTCAAGGCACCTAGGTGCCAAAAGAGAAGCCCATGGAGAGTGAGTTCCAGGTATTCAATCTGTTTCTCAGCAATCAGACCCCAAACATCTGGAGTTACAACTCTCATGGAGCAATTTCGCTTTGGCTGAAACACAGTAGGAACCTACTGAAAAACCAACTTTGCACATGTGCACGGTCACTACCTCAGTCATGCACGTTTTTAAAAGCTCTTAGGTAGGTGAAATAGAGCAAGGATCATCATCATATTATCATATCGACATAACACCATCCAAAGGTTAAACGCCAACCCACATAAAAAGGTATCAATCTGGACAAGGCATACATCATCTAAAAATCTAAAGGTAAAGAAACATTAATAATATTTAAACATGAATATTATATATATGGCAGTGCGTTAATATTCCACCAAACATGGATTTTCAAAAGGAGGTTTTTAGCTTATTCTGTCATTATTGTGTGATTTTCACAGCATGTTATTATATAAACTGTATTTTATTGACTTCATATCATATCATATCATATTATGTTCTGTGTATTAAATAAGCAAGGGAAGTTGAATATGTGCATTTAACATGAGCCATGAACTGAGGACTCAGCGATGCAAATGTTAGTTGATTTTTATGTTTCCACAATAAAACCCGATCCATTTGACAAAGTAAAAGACTACAACTTTGGACCTGCCTGAACTGTTTCTGTGCTGACCTTGTACTCTGACCCCAAGCTTCTCTCCTTGTCTGGGTGGAGCAAGTATGCGAAAAGACACATTCCCAATACAAGAAATTGCATATGGCCAATGAAGTGATCTTATAAAAAGAGATTGAGAACCGCACGATTTAAAAAGAAAAATGAAATAACCATCCTTTTGCTAATCAATTCTTTTAATTCAGGGTCATGGGAGAGCTGAATCTTGGCAAGCAACAGGCACAAGTCAGGGTACGCAGGGCAGACACACACACTCACACCAGGGCCACTTTAACCAGAAGCCAATTAACCTACAAGTATGGCCTGGACAGTGGGAGGAAACCCACACAATGAAGGCGCCTTTTCTGTCTCTGCTCCACTCATATGGCCTGTCCTTGTCTACGAGAGACAACTTTTTTGCCTTTTTTTTTAAAATCGAAACTTAAAACTTACTTTCTTACTATGGCCTATGTCTGACTGCCTTGCAGTTTACCCTGTATGCTCTTGTTTCTTTTTCTTACATTTTATTGTATTTCTTTCAGTTTTTCTTTCATGTAACTACGTACATGGGTTTAGAAAGGTACTTTTTATTCATTCTTATTCACACAGATAGCACCCGAGGTCTGGAACTGAACCCAATATAAGTCATGCTAACCACTGCACACCCATGCCTCCCACAGACTAAATATACTTCACTGAAATGAGATCTGGAGGCTTACACAGGTGTCTACTCATGCCCTAGGGAAAGCTGCAAACACAGGAACCCACTGATTTCACAAGGCAGGAGGGAACATCCGTTATAGTATCTCTGTTATTACACAGAGGTCACGACTCCCTCCCAAAATCAGGAGGTGCACAATTAAAAGAAAACCGGGTTCATTTACAATTGCCTTTTTCCATGATCAAGTATAAGCTGCTGTAGCTTCAGAACATCATAAACAATCTCAACTACTGACATGTACCTTATACGCAAGGGAAAACCAGCAGCTGATCCTAAAAACCCATTTGCACGACTGCATACAATGCTATGAATAGAACTTGTTGCATGTAGCTTAGCCTATTCTGTATATAATGCAACCTAATTCAAAACCTGTACAAGTACTAAACATAATACAATGACAGCACAAGCTAATAGACTAATCAACTGGATGTACTTTGCAAATTTAACTGCAGAAAGAAGCACACATGTAAAGTATCACTTCTTGTATCATTTATATTTCGATAAAAAAGAGTAGCAATGCAAATCATAACCTTTTTAATATGATTCGACAAACTCAACCTTGTTTAATGTTAAAATCCTTATGCTCTACAAGCTCATAATGCAGCCATAAACTTGGTGTTGCTATTACTGCCAGTTTTACTCTATGAAAAAAAAAGTATTTAAAAGTTTTAAAAGTATTTAAAAAGTAGCTGTACTCATCAAAATGCAAATATCTGTACTGTGTAAATATGTCATGAAAAGAACAAGTTTCTGAATCTATTTCATGATTGTAAATCTGTGTTGAAAACTACAAATACAACATTAGTGTTTTAATACAAAAACAAGCAGCAGGTTCAAACTGAGATTTTATAGCAGAACCAAAACTAAAACATTTTTTCCATCAAAAGCCACTGCAACAGAAAACACTACTGTATACTGAAGCATGCATGGAAATGTGTCTCTTGTGTAACTTTATGTACACTTTTTACAGTTTCAGACATGTCACTGATTTCTATTCTAATTTGTAAACGGGTAAGCTTTCAACTTCTCATTTTGTTACAATAGCAGATTGAACCTGATTTACAGCACCTCCCATCACCAACCTTAAAACAGAGGTATCATTGCCATTATTTAGATACTACAATCCTACACGTACAAAGATGGAAAAGTATAAAGAATACACTAACATACTGACAGGTATGTTCCTAATGTATGCACACCTATATCCTCTTTTATCCTCTTTCCCTCTCTTTTTTTTTGTCTGCATCGTTTTCTTTCATACTTTTATCCTATAAATATTCTTCTAATATTCTTCTTTTTTTTTCATAAAAATAGGTTTTCCTTTAAGACACCAAGACTGTTTCGCCGAGTTCTGCATCTATTTTGACACAGGGGAGGAGCAGACGGTGCTGCTGTTTGGAATTGATTCTGGAACAGGGAACCTTTCTGTGGGGAGTTTGCATGTGCTCGCTTGGGTTGCTGGTTTCTCAAAAACTTCTGACAAATATTCTGGTTAGGCTGGCTGGTATCTCTAAAATGTTCAAGTAAGTTGTGCGTGTGCAGGCTCTGTGATGGACTGGCATCCTGTCCACAACTTAGTCCATTTAGGCAGTATGATGGTTAGCACTACCATCTTGCATCTTGACTATATTGCCACCTGTTTGTGTGCATTTTCTCTGTGTTTGTGCTGGGTTTTGTCAAATACTCTGGGAAAACAATAAAACATGCCTTTTCCCATTTGCTATCTTTTCCATAACACCAAAAACCCTGTTCTCATCAAAACATTTTTTTTCCTTACATCCATCCACAACATAGTTCAACCTTCTCATCCAAGTGTTGCCAATGGATATAAACCGTATCCGAAATGTAGCAATGAAACTCTCTCCTCCAGCCTCAAGTACGAATACAAAAGAATACGCATACTGTAGAGCAGAGGAACAAGTAAAGGTTTATTCCATGCTGAGAAGAGAAGAAAAGAAACGCAACGTTTCGGCTGTGGAGCCTTCTTTGGGTGGGAGAGAGAGAGAAAAACTTTGCAGCAGGCTGGGAGCAGTAGAAACTGCAGGTACCCAAACCAAGATAGGGGGCAGCGATGTGTAGTAAGTCAAGGAGCTCCAGTTCAGTCCCCTAGGCAAAGCTGACATTGCTTGGCCTAGAACTGCCAGCTGCAGCTATCTGGTTGCGTGTTGCGAATTTTGTGGTGTGAGCGGACTGGGAGAAAAGGCTTTTACCAGATGAGCCACAAGAGACTCGATTCTAACATCCACTCCTTCAGGGGCCAACCACATAATGAACAACTTCCAAAACGGAAAAATGTCGCATTAGGAAAATTAAGCAAATAATCACATCAAATAAGTCAATGTGACGCACATCATGAAACAAATACAAAATACACTATTTTAACAGGTACTGCTGGTGTTTTAACTAGTATCATGAGGAAATTATGACAAATCAAACAGAAAACAGCAGGCAAGTGGGATGTTACAGCAAAGTAAGAAAAACTACATTTACACCTTGCAATTAATTAAATTTTCAAGGACGAGGTTCATGAATACTTCATTATACCGAGGTTCAAAATGTAGGGGAGGCACACTGAGAGACTCACCAATTGCAGCTTTGCCCCAGATCTGGACTTTGTACTCCTGAGGCCTGTTTTTACCAAAGTGTTCCTGGAATAACCTGAAACTGTCTTTACGCCTCTGTTGCACAGAAAGAGACTCAAGTTTCTCGTCTTCCTCCCATGGATTCCACTCCTCTCCCTCTTCAGAAGCAGCCAGACCCTTCTTGGGGTCAGGCCTCAGGGGTTGCTGGGAACTGTCTGAAAAACAGCAAAAAGAAACAAACCTATAACAGGAGAAAACGTTGTCTCCTGAAATCACGAGTGTCTTACAGCCGGGCGAGATGAAACCAGACCCGTCGTTTTTTAAACACAGAGTAGCTATCAAAGCTGTGTTATTTTTCCTCTCAGTCCGAACACCAATCACCTCTACCTTTGAAACTCACTGTTGCACTTGAGAGTGATTTCCCTGCTGTGATCATACAAAACAGTAAAACAGAGGTGACACGTGCTGAAGCTTTTTTGGACTAAATATACAGTAAAAACATGGTTTGGTTTGTAAAGGAGGGCATAGGGCCTTACGGTTTGTTGCTTAGTGCTTACGGTGTAAGTCTCTGGTCTTGACTGAATCTTCAATCATAATAAATAACCCAAAGTTGTTGTAAGTTTCAATGACGGAACAGATGTTTTAGAAAAGAAATCCACATGAAACACACTTTCAGAGCATAAGAAGTGTTCTGGAGGGGATAAGCAAGATAGCGCAGGAGATGGTTAACAAACTGAGAAACACAGGATAATAAATTAATAAAATGTAGAGCAGCACTTGTCAAAAGGCATCACCTTATATACAGTATTTTGTATATCTCCTTGCTTATGAAAAGGAATTCTTCATGTATTCGTGCATAATTTATTATTACCACCCATACAATTTCAATAAAGAACATTTATGTCTAAACTTCACTTCATTGCAGCAACAAAACATCCTGACAAAAAATCAATCTACTGTAGGTCTCCCTTAGGGATTTCACCTCTATGAGACAATGTATAATATGACATTATTTTTCATCTCCATCAGAAACCATAAGAAAATTAAAGCTACAGTAAATTTTCTGAACATTTCTTCAAAGAAACCATTTCCAATGAGCTCCGAACTGATTGTACTGAATATCTTGAATTTGATATATAAATACAGAAGCAAGACAATAAGCTCATCTTTTTAAAGAATTAAGATTTACTGTTTACTGTTAAGAAGATCTGCTCATCTGAATTTGCTATTTTAACATCTGGATTGCAGTCTGTTTGTTGTCCAGTATGCCGACACTTAATCATTTCCTGTTTTGGCATGAGAGCTGAAACAAGAAATCCATAGGATTCAGTATGCAGGCTGTGAGAACATCAAAACGTGATTGGTCTTGGATGAGCACGCCACATCCTTTTTCTTCTATTGTTCAAAACAAAAAGAAGGCAGAAGGCTGGTTTCACTATGCGATATAAACACAACAAGAAGGCTATGCATCATATTCTGATGAACAAAATGAAAACTAATGTAACACCAAAGCAGAAAGCCTGCATTAAGGTGGAATAAGGATAGGGGTGGTGCAGTTGTTTGCACTGCTGCCTCACACTCCTGGGGAGTTATCCGACTGGAGTTTGTATGTTCTCCCTGAATTTGCAGGGGTTTCCTCATGTTTCCTCCCACAGTGCAAAGACATGCTGGTCTAATATTTACTCCATGTCTACCGTGACTAGGACCAAGAGACCACAGCTACTCATATTCAAGCACAGAGTGCTCAGTATGGTACAGCAATACTTCCATGCATGACAAAGACACACTACAAAGGGCTGTGGATTATAGGATTATAGGCACAGAGGATCACAGGATGCGATTCACCATCAATCGGTGAGATTCACACCATCCTTTGTCACCATCAATCAGGATCCCAGCCATCCCGGCCACAAACTGTTCTCCCCCCCTACCCTCTGGCAAGCAGTACCACACTGTTAAAGCATGGATCACTAGACTCAAGACGAGCTTCTACCCTACTGTAGTGCACATCCTCAACAGCTAACTGCAATGCCGCAGAATGCAACTCTACCTTACACACTTTTGACTTTTCAATACCTCACATTTATTGTCCTTACAATGGACGTATTGCTCTGGTTGTTACTATTTTTTATGCATCATTTTGTAATGTACTGTCTACATTGTGGCTCTGAAACAAGTTGAAACCTTGATCTTTTGGTAGAGGTAGGCCAGAGACTAACAGGCCCATCAGAATGATCACAATGTCTGACACAGGGAGGCATGAGCAGATTCAACCTGCATTGCTTCTTTGGTTTGCTAGAAATTATCTAAAATTATCTGAAAATGCAATCCGGCCATTTCTTGAAATGCTGTCCAACTCTCTCTCTCCTTTTCATTATGGTCTCTTACTACTGTTACACAGATACTTAAGCCACACCATCACTGGCTCTGAAACCTTTTCAAATCTGACCTTTTGGCAGATGTAGGCCAGAGATGGTGTGGGCCCGTAAACGAAACATTGCTGATGGAACACTCCCACTTGAACACCCCAGTGACATGTCAGCCCCCCAAGTCCCCACCTGAAGACTCAAGATTATGACAAGAACCAGTGAAGTTCTCAGCATCTCAGAGAGTTTGTGCCATCAAGTCCTACGTGTCAAACATGAAATCGTTTCTTCTTAGGCCTGAACACTAAGAGACATAAAAAAAACCCTTTTTTATTTCTAATGCTTCTCAGGACATATCCTTAATCAAACTTGAAATTCTCTTTAGAAATTCTGCCTTCTGCTTCTGTTATACATATCTATAATACATTAAAAATCTTCAGCCCCCTGAGACGGTTTGTGTAACTGTTAAGATCACTACTTTGAATTATACTGTCTGTGATTCATCGGTACACAAAATTATTTTTATTAACAATTGCCATCTGCTTTATATATCATTCTGAACCATGGGATTTGAAAATGCTAAAATGAATCAAGGCAAACATTTTTTGCTTCCTCTTATAATGCTGTCCTAACATAACAGCAGTCCTCCCTTTGGAACTGTTTTGCTCCAATGTACAGTAATCCCTCTGTCTACCAACCACTTTCTAACAATAACACAGTTTACTGACAAGGTCAAAGCGTCTTCCAAACCTAGTGGAATAGTGAAAGAAAACTGTTGATTGTTATATTTACACACATTTCCTTCTAAATACGTAAAGATACATTACCACTGCTAAGAAGTGCTTAAAAATGCCACGCAATGGGTTCTGACCATCGTCTGCAGCACAAATACACCTCGTTACAATAGAAAGCATATACATAAGCTGTGTTTGTAAAAAATGACACAAGGTTGCTATAGAACAGATTAAATACTTTAAATAAAAATTCAGCTATGTAGGTAACAGCTAAAATGTAAAATATTATGAAGTACCTGGCCCTATAAGTAGTCTTCATTTCCATGTAGTCTGTTCTGTAGTTAATGGTTTAAAACTTCCAACTAAAATCACAGCATTAAAAGGCAAGTAAATATGATGCCAGCCTGCAGCCATATCACTCTGCAACTCACAACTGGCAGCCCCCTGAAGCTCAGCAGGTGTGAGCCTGGTCAGTACCTGGATGAGAGACCTCCTGGGAAAAACTAAGGTTGCTGCGTGAAGAGATGTTAGTGGGACCAGCAGGGGGCGCTCACCCTCTAGTCCATGTGGGTCCTAATGCCCCCACTATAGTGACGGGGACACTATACTGTAAAAAGGCGCCGTCCTTCGAATGAGATGTAAAACCAAGGTCCTGACTCTCTGTGGTCATTAAAAATCCCAGGGTGTTTCTCGAAAAAAGTAGGGGTGGTGCTTTGACCAAATTTCCCAACCCAAGTTGGCCAACCCTTACCAATCATGGGCTCCTAATAATCCCCATCTATGAATTGGCTTCATCACTCTGTTCTCCTCACCACCAATAGCTGGTGTGTGGTGAGCGTCCTGCCCCAATATGGGTGCTGTCGCATCATCCAGGTGGGGCTGCACATTGGTGGTGCTGGAGGGGAGTCCCCATCACCTGAAAATCGCTATATAAGTGTAGGCAATTATTAAATACTGGAAAATATTAAGAGAAAATATATTTTAATTTATCAATACCACCTACAATGAAGATGCTATATAGTATACTATATATACACACCATTGCTATATAGCAATATAGTATTCGTTTTCTGTAAACAAAATATACCACTCAAAGATGTGGCATTTTTAAAAATAGATTCACAATTTTTTTTTCTGTGTCCAGAAATCACAAAACCATTTTCCAACTTTGAATGATTCATAATTTGGCCGTTTGTCACGATTCATTTAATCGGCAAATGCGTCTTGCCAATATTAACCGCACTGTGAACTGTGTGCGGCTCTCGGCTCTTTGCAGTGGAGGACTCTAAGAAAGAGAACATCTGGATAACAGTTCTTGTGCAGAAGACACCCATGCCTGCTTGCTTGCTATTTATTCGGAACAGGCGTTCCAAAGTCTTCATGAGGAAATCTGCCAATCCTGTCTTTATACATCACCGAAAACTATGATTGCACATATTCTTCCTATACTGAAGCTTTCATCTGTTCCACAGCTGTTATAATTTGATCTTGGTCTAGACTGACTTTCTCAAATTTGAATTCAATCATGAAACTATCAGGCTAAGTGAATTCATCAATAACGCCACTGAGCATTTTCCTCATTGCAGCAACAGAACATCATTCAAGCCGCCTCTGTGAATCTAATCAATTTCTACAGTATATGGAAAAAGTGATGTTAAAAATATAAAATAGCATCTCAGTAAAGATTCAACCACACATTTTAAAGGCACATGTCAAGTTTAGGTTGTAAACCAACAGAAATGAATCACATAATTGTTACTATGAAACCAGGTATATGAATAGCTCTTAAATGGTGAATAATCATTGTCCATTTTTCACATTCCAAGATACAGAAAAGAATACATAAACTAAAAAATAATAAATATGTAAACTAAAGCACAGAATATGACAAAAGAGAAAAGTACAAATATTTCATCTTTTACTTTTTCACTTGTCAGATCCTCACAATGTAAATCTTTAAGAAGGCTTAATGTAACCAGATATGTCACTGGTTTACAATTACTTTTTAAACAGTTACAGTAAGCAAACATGCAGTCCATTTATGAAATACTACATATACAGGTATATTTCACATTTGGTTATGTCATTTATTATAGTACTGCCATTCCTAATTTGGACAAGCATGCTTAATAGGACGCTCCTCTAGGCTAATTCAAAAACACAGTAAAGAGCATCAAAATTATTTCTTGATTTATTTTTCTTTGGGTATTTTAAGACCTTTGACGGTTCCAGAGGTGCAATGTAAACAAGAAGGAATGAGCTTTAAAAACACCGTCATAAAACACAACAAAATCACAAGTCAGGTATTTTAATGTCCAGGCTTTTATACGTCGGCCATCTTTAGGATTTAGGGTAACAGAAACTACGTTTTTTTCTTTTATAAAAACTAAAAAAAAAACACAAATATTTTTACAACAGTCATAATCCTGGTCTGCGAATCCAACCTCAAATATTTAACCACTGAATGATGAGGGTAATGTTTTTTTCGGGCTACTTAGGTTTAGGCAAACCTAAACAAACAGGACTAAACACTTTTCTCCACGCTTCGGCAAAAAAGAAATGTTGCAGAAAATCTAAAAAAAGACTTACATCTACATATAAACAGCACGTACTGTATAAACGTGAATTAATGCTGGAACAGCGCAGAGACCAGAGCGTGTAACTTTCAAGTTTAGTCCAATTATGTTTTTTTTCTCTCCTAAAACGTCTAGTATCTCACCAGCTTTGTTCATTACCTTGACGTAAAAAACACCTCCAAAATACTATTCTCTTTTTTTATATTTCATTTTCAGTAAAACAATATCCCCGATGTCCCACACAGGCCAGAGTAACACTACTGAATAGTTTAGTAACTCAACCACATTTAACGAAAACAACTAAAGTTACATTTGTATCAGCTCCAGGCAGTGGGCACACGGCTCTATCAAAAATCACAATTTTGTTTTATTTAATTTTGTGTTTGTTTTTTGAGGGTTTGTTTTAACGGGCTCTTTATGGTTCTTCAACATATAATAAGCAGCGCTGCGTTGTTATATACCGGAAAAAATCCTTCCAAAACAAACATCCCACCGTAAAACATATTCATTTGCAAATGTTACATTTGAACAGATAACCAGAAAAGCATGCTGTGTATTTTAAGATCTGCTGGGAAGGGAATGTTGCCTTACCAGTTATCTTTTTCGCAACCCTGTGCACTCTGGATATCAATCTGGTCTTGAAAAACGCGTTATAAGCGGCATAAAGAGAAAATATCAAGTAAGACAACAGGATAATAGAACATATTTTTCTGCGACTGAGCTTCATTCTTTTATAACATCATACTACGGTGGCATTATTATTATTTTTGAGATGTATCCACACGTGAACCAAAAAAAATTGCAGCTTTAAGAAGGACCCGGCGAGGCAATGACGAGAAACGGTTATCTAGGAAACTGCCTGCACAGATTTTTTCAAACTTGGAAAAACCCGGAATCGCAGGTTTTATTTCACGGCGTGATTGTACAATTTGATGCGATGCTTCCCTTTTCTGAACGGGAAACGTTCGCCTTCAAATATCAATATTTTAAAAATCACTCTAAGGTTTTCAACTGTAAATAAAAAACACAGGTAAAAATGAAGACGTCTTAAAAGAGTGGAACTATTGCTTATGACAATGTGTAGAAATGCTAAATATATTCCAGTTTGTAAACTGTCTCCATACTGTAGCAGTATGTTTTCTGTTTTACTTAGGGATACTAACCCCTGTGCCCACTCGGTATCATTGCCTCAAAATTCCCCCTTCTTAAATTGCTAAAGCAATTTCTCACTTTCCCCTCGATGCATTGCGCAAAGGGTCTGAAATCGATATGGCCAATACATTTGTAGACGGATTTATGAAGAGTATGACAGTGTAACTGAAACCTTACTTGAACTAACAGGTTGCTTCTTTGGAATGTTTGCACGTTGTTGTTTTTTTCTACTCAAATAATGAAATATTTAGATTTTTTTTTACTTATGAAACGCAGTGATTAAACCACAACCACCAACACGGTGAAGACCTAAAAATAGTCAAAACACTTCAAATGAATCAAATCTTTAAGTCAATTAAGTGTTCAGTTGTATAACTCAGAGCTTGACAGGATCTACAGTACCCCTACCACTGGTTGTATTTTATTTAACTTGTTGCTGCTGCTCTTCTGTGTTTATTTTTTCGGTGTTTATCGAATGTCTTTGTATTGGAGCATACATGCAAATAAGATTTTCATTACACTTGTGCATATAACAATAAGCTGAAGTGAACTAAAAAACTAGGGTGTGTGTGGTCCTCCTGATCCCTTGGTATAGTATGGCTACATACCGTGTATTGCTCCCAAAGGGAATGTTGTCTAAATTGCCCTCCAAAGAAAAGCTTGAAAGACACTGATTAATCTTTTCAAACTCTTGCAATGGGCATTGAATGCACAGGCATATTAACAAATAAAGGCAAAATGTATTAGGTGTTTCTGACTCTTTCTTTACTCCATTCAACACAAAATTTCCAATGAAATTGACTGTTCTTGAAACATTCCAATTGTACTGACAAGGTTGGTTAATCTTTCCAGACTCAAATTTTGATTCAGAGAACTTAATTTTCCTATCAAATGAGTGGATGACTGTGTAAAGTCTTTGCGATATCCCTGAACCCAAACCCTAACCTAAGCCAAACCCTTAGCTAGGGTTACGGTTTGAATTCCCACAAAATGCAGATAGCTTTTGATGTCTTGGCTGTGTTTTAGGGCAGAAATGATATTTAGGAAAACAGTTATTTAAATATTTTCTAAACATTTGTTTTTACATATTAGGCTATATACCCCAATAGGGGAATGTCATCTTAATTGCCCTACAAGCAAAAGTTTGAAGGAAAACGCTACAACTTTTCAAAGTCTTGCAACAGGTATTGAATGCAAAGGCATATTAAAAAATTAAGGAAAATATATTAGGTGTTTCTGACTCTTGCACCACTTAAGCCTGATACTCATTCAGCACTCCATTCAACACAAAATTTCCAATGAAAGAAAACTTGACAACAATTAATGTGACCGTTCTTAATAAATTCTGATTGTTTTGACAAGGTTGTTTAATCTTTTCAAACTAATATTTTGATTCAGTTAAGCTAATTTTCCCACCAAATGAGTGGATGATTGTGTAAGGTCTGAGAAATCCCTGAACCCTAAGCCAGACCCTTAGCTAGGGTTTGGGTTAGGAGTTCCACAAAACATAGACAGGTTTTGATGGCATGGCTGTGATTTAGGGCAGAAATGATATTAAGGAAACCAGTTAGTTTAATATTTGCTAAACATTTTTTTCGTTCATATTAGGCTATATACAGTGCTTTACCCCAAAAGGGGAATTTTGTCTAAATTTCCTTAGAAGCAAAAGTTTTCAATAACTGATTCAGATTTTCAAACTCTTGCAATGGACATTGAATGCACAGGCATATTAATAAATAAAGGCAAAATGTATTAGTTCTTTCTGACTCTTATGCCACTTAAGCCTGATCCCATAATCATTCAGCACTGCATTCAACACAAACAAACACAACCCTAACCTAAGCCAAACCCTTAGCTAAGGTTAGGGTTAGGATTTCCACAAAACATAGACAGGTTTGATGGCATGGCTGTGTTTTAGGGCAGAAATGATATTTAGGAAAACTGTTATTTCAATATTTTGCTCTCTCAGTGAAGAGAACACATCCACCTGTACATCCCTGGGCTTGTCCTAATGTGACAGCCTAAAAGAAATTCATATTTTTTAAGAGAAAACTAAAAGGGGACCAGACTGAATTATTAAAACTCCTCAAAGGTCTTGACCAAATTAACCCTACAGACCTTTTCAGAAACAACAGTACAAACAAATTAAGAATGAGGGAGTGGGACATGGGGGAATAAGGGAATTGCTTTTTTTCTATTTCACTGTTCTATTTGTTCAAAACAATATTAAAAAAAAATGATCACATAAAATTCTTCCAGGGAGGCACGGAGGCAGAGGTGTGGGCATTTCTGCCTTTCAGTGCTGGGGCCCTGGGTTCAATTCCTGAGGTACTATCTCCATGGACCTTATATGTTCTCCCTGTGTCTGTGAGGGTTTCCATTCAGTACTCTGGTTTCCTGCCACAATCCAAAGATATGCTGGTAGGTTAATGGGCTTCTGGGAACATTGGTCCTGCTGTGAGTGAGTGTGTGTATGTTTGTGTGTGTCCTGCAATAGACTGGAGTCCCATCCAGGGTGTTTCCTGCTTTCTGCCCGTTGCTTGCTGGGATAGACTGCAGTTCCCCTTGCATCCATTAATGGGATGAAGAGGTAAGGAAATGTGTGGATGTAAAAAGCTTCCATCCTTAACCTGTTAATTTGACCCATTCTGCTTCTCTTTAACCTTATCTCATTCAATCACAGTCTGTTTTCCTGAGAACCTGGTAAGCCTTTGTCTTAGACTTAAGTTCGGGCTTTTACCTGTACAGATTCAAAATATAATTCAAAACATACCAAATTATTAGCACAGTTCTATAACGGTCTTCTCACCCCTCTTTTTGTGACTTCATCTCGATTGTTGGAAAGGACCAGATCAATATACTATAGACCATTCCTCTAGTTTGGCCTAATTGGCTCATTAGCGTAATGTTTGCTGGTGGTCGAAGAGTGTGATTAGTTTAAAAATAACAGATGTACTGTTGAAACTGAACTCAATATAACTTTCACACACTTGAACTGAACTTTATAATTCTTTAACCAAACAATAGAGTATTCATTGTAGTACTGATATTTACTGTACATCGATAATAGGCTATTACACAGTGCTGTATATTATATTAAATATGATAAGGCTGGACAAATGTTAGAAGCAGTTTGCACCACAGAATTTAATTTTAAGTAGTTAGGACGACATACAAGAAGAACAACTGAAATTGTGAAATAGAAGTGGCATAATCGTAACATCCTTTATATGTTAATACTGACATTTGAACATAATAATCTCAGTGCCATAAGCAATACCTGTGTGTGTTGTTCTTTCATTACATGACAAAGGCTAATGGCATATAACACAATTTATGGAATCAGTTTTCTGAACGTAATGTGGTTCTCTGGCTGTTCTGTTCACTATATTGTGACCTTTTGGAAGAGCATGCCAAAACTGGTTTATGTCTGTCTAACAGTCATGATATAATTCACCCAATAAAAATGTACCCTTTCTAGTTAAACTGATCATAAATCTGAGCTCAATTTAAACTCTCAAGCACAGCAAAAGCCATAATACTTAACTGATTCTTTAACTGTCTACAGCTGCACAAGAAAACCTCTGTGGTTAACAGTCTAAGAAGGAAAAAGGAAAAGATCAGAAATGAATTATTTTATAGCATATTCAAGATTATAATTTATACAAACAAAACCTGTGGGCTGTTTTATAGACTTTAATGGAAAAAACCCTCCAAATATGTCACAATCTAAGGCAGTCAACACATTTTTTATGATGTTTTCCACTAGGTACCTCTAAAACCTAATTCAACTGGATGTAAATATGTCCAGTGGGCACACAAACTAAAATATATGATAAGGAATATTTCTATTTCTCAAATAAGGTGTTTGAAAGCTGACAGATTTGCTAAGATGAATTCCCCACACTCACTCAGTGCTTTAACTGGATAAGAGCAAAATTTGTCAAAAAGTGTCTCATTTTGATAGAACAAACTAGCATAAGAACTCTTTAGTTGCATTAGTGGTTTATTTTCAAATTCAGAGTGATGATTTCTGCTTGGAATAAAAAAAATAATTTAAGAGCTCCGGGGTCAACAATAAAACATGAACACAAGTGAAAACTATAGGGAAGTGCATCTGGAACTTAGAACCGGGAGGACTTTTTCACCCAAAGGGTTGTGGGAATAAGACAAAAACTTCACAGCCACGTTGTTGAAGCAGAGCTCATGGCTTATTTCGGTAAACAGATGGGTGAAATCCCCTGCTTGTGTTTTTGCATCATCCTTGGGAGCTTCCTGGGAGAGGGTGCTGAGTCTCAAGTACAGTTTGATTCCTCAGATTCTCAAGTAAGATGAGTAACATTACTCAGGTGTTAGTTACAGTTAAAGTTGATACTGATATAATCAACTCAGTTGCAAGAGCACTGTACTCAGAAAGACATGTCGGATCAAGCTAAGTCCAAGGATCTCATTCAGTCCTTGCATGTAACATTGGGATCTTAGGAATCAGCTTCAGTTATACAGTATCCTGTCGCTGAGTGGATTGTTACAGTATCTCACAACCTTTTGTGTAAAGATGATTTTTTTCCTGAATTCAATCCTACATACTGTATATTCATACTGAAACATGTCTTAATGGTCAGGAATTACGCTTGTTGCTCTTCTTTCGACAGATTCAAAAAACAGTAAAGCCCTTTTTATAATGTACAACCACGATAGCATG